CTGCGCTGATTCTCCCAGAACGCGAACAATGACACAATGTCGCGGGTACTCATGTGCGCAAATCGCATTTCTGCTCTGCAGTTGAACATCATCCCCGCGCCTCCGCTCTGGCCAAGGGGGGGAAAACGATCACGGCCGCCTGCAGTCATTGGATCGTCTCGACCGTCCGTATTCCCAGATCGGACCGTCCGTACTAGCGGATCGGACGGCCAGCAGGCACGCGCGGAGGGCCCACCCGAAAAACCACATATATGAGGCAGGCCCACCACTCCCCATTGGAACATCCCGACCGTCAGTATCCCCGGATCGGACGGCCAGCAGGTGCTCGCGAAGGGCCCTCCCAAAAAACTATATATATGAGGGAGGGCCACCAGTTCCCATTTTCGTTTCAGTTCGGCAACGCAGCAGTAGCGCAGTGCAGAGGAGGTTCGTCGACGCAGCGCAGCGGAGGCTCGTGCCACAGCGCAACGCAGTGGAGGCTCGTGTACAGCGCAACGCAGTGGAGGCTCGTGTACAGCGCGGCAACGGAGCGCAGGGATTCGGTCCGTGCATAGCAGGCCACCTGTTCAACGCGACGGCGGACCACAGTGCTGTCGAGAGGCGTGTTCAGCGCGACGACGGAGCGAGCATACGGCCCAAGATCACGACGCACAACCACAGCGGAGCACCCTGAGTTTGAAGGATCGGACGGTGAGGATACAACCACGCAGCCCAGATGCAACCACGTAACGCCACGTGGCACTTCCGGTCGTCGAGTCGAACACGATCGTGCCCGATCGTTGAGTCGAACACGATCGCGCCCGATCGTCGAGTCCAACACGATCGTGTCCGATCGTCGTGTCGAACACGATCGTGCCCGATCGTCGAGTCGAACACGACAGTGCCCGACAATCGAGTCGAACACGATCGCGCCCGATGTCTGATTGTCGAGTCGAACACGACAGTTGAGTCGAACACGCTCGTTGAGTCGAACACGATCGTCGAGTCGAACACGATTGTGCCCGATCGTCGACTCGAACACGATCGTCGAGTCGAACACGATACTGCCCGATCGTCGAGTCGAACACGACACTGCCTGATCGTCGAGACGAACACGAGAGTCGAGTCGAACATGACACTGCCCAATCGTCGAGTCGAACACGATACTGCCCGGTCGTCGAGTCGAACACGATAGTTGAGTCGAACACGACACTACGATCGTCGAGTCGAACACGATAGTTGAGTCGAACACGACACTGCTCGATCGTCAAGTCGAACACGACAGTGACGGATCGCCGAGTCGAACACGACAGTGACGGATCATCGAGTCAAACACGACAGTGACAGATCGTCGAGTCGAACACTATCGAGGAGTCGAACACTATCGAGGAGTCGAACACGATAGTCGAGTCGGACAACAATCGTCGAGTCGAACACGATCGTCGAGTCAGATACGATCGTCGAGTCGAACATGATAGTCGAGTCGAACACGATCGTCGATCTTGTTCGTCGAGTCCAACACGATAGTCGTGTCGAACACGGTAGGCGAGTCGAACACGTCGAGTCGGACACGATCGTCGAGTCGGACACGATCGTCGAGTCGAACACGATCGTTGAGTCGAACACGATCGTCGAGCCGAACACGATAGTCGAGTCGAACACGATAGTCAAGTCAAACACGATCGTCGAATCGAACACAATCATCGAGTCGGACACAATCGTCGAGTCTAACACGATTGTGGAGTCGAACACGATAGTCGAGTCGAACTCGATAGTCAAGTCGAACACGATCGTCGATTGCGTTCGTCGAGTCCGACACGATCACCGAGTCCGACACAATCGTCGAGTCGAACACAATCGTCGAGTCAAACACAATCGACGATTGCGTTCGTCGAGTCGAACACAATAGGTGAGTGCCATGTCGTCGAGTCGAACACGATCCTTCCCTGTCCTCTAGTGGAACAAGATTGTGCGCGGTGCAATATCATCGAATCGTTCATGATTGTGTGCAGTGCTATGGGCCGCGTGCGTCGTGTCCTGGAAGATCGTGCATGGGTTGTGTGCGTGGAATTATGGGCGTGGATTGCGCACGTAGATTCTGTGCATTGTGCTGTCGTGCGGCCTGGTTTGTTTCCATTGTTGGGGAGAGCGGGGTGAATAGTTCTATGCTGTTGTTGGTTGTTCTATTGATGTTGTTGACCGTTGCCCTTGTGCCGTGCAGGGCGTCTTCTCTTCACTGTTGCTATGGAGATCTCTAATATGACCCCAACACTTTGGCGTGCACGCAAGGCACACCCTTTCCCGCCTTGCGCGCTGTACGCCTGGCAATGTCAGGGCAGCGTAACCTATGAAGGCGCTTGTCCAGAAGACTTCGAATGCGACCCTTGGATGAGAATCCTCCCGTTTGGTGACAAACATTTGGACTCGTGGGAGGAGTGCGAGTGGGTGAACATGACGGAGAGATGCCTGTGGGCGTGCGATTATGAGTTCGCGAATATGTCTGAACTCGGCAAGCACATTCCCGTGTCGTTCGATGTGTTGCGTCCCATGCGCTTGCCGCTACTGTGTAAAAAGCTAAAAATAACCCGTGCTGTGGGGTTTTTGGACTGCGAATACGTGACAACCTCGCCTCGCACCTGATGCCGTGTTATGAAACAGGAGTTACTCGATTGTGCGCAACATTCTCAATTCCTCGATCATTATCCGTTGCGATCTCCCGGTYTGTCGCCAAGAGCAGTTTCGTATTGTTGTGTGAGATTGCGTCTGGCATACTTTATCTTCTGTAGGGTCCTCTGTATTGCCGTTTCGAGCAGGGCAAGAAACTTGACCGATGTTGTCGTGTATGTGTCCAGGAACGAGTTGTCTATGTCCGTGAGGGATATGTGTTTAGTTCAAAGAAAGGTAGATGGGAGACTGGATATCGTGGTGGGTGGCCAGGTGGAGGACGTTGTCGCATGGCGCGATGTCGAGGCTAAAGTCGTTTCAATTCGGGATGTTATAGGCGCTTATCTCGTCGGGAACTCCGGGTTCGTGAGAATGACATACATTTCGGTGTTTGCTGAGACGGCGCACCAGCTGACCTTCGGATCGCCAATTAGCGTGTTGAATGGCCGCAACGACGGGATTGTTCCCCGTAGTCGGTAGATAGCCTTCGTCATACTTAATGGCCAAAACGGCATACTGAATGGCCGTTATGGCCGCAACGGCGAGATTGTTCCCCGTAGTCGATAGATAACCTCGTGGAATTCGCATTGCGATTGCTAGTTGTTCTCATCATGTGTTCAGTGGTCAAAAGTACACACGTTTGACGTTGTTGTCCTCATATTGTTTTTCAATTCATTGAAACCCGGGAATGATGACATGTGTTTTTGGTTTGTCTTTGGACACCGACACATCGCTGTCAGCCGAGTGTTCGATTGTTGTTCTCATGTTGTGTTTCCTTTCGGAAAAAAAACCTCGGTTGTTCTGATGTTTTGCGTGCACAAACATTCAGCAGTCAATGTTTCTCTGTGTTAACCACTGCCTGCAATCTGTTGTCTTGTGTTCTCGTGATCAAGTGCCCCTTTAGGCATCGTCCGCCAACCATTGTGTCGAACACGACACATGTCACACAGCACACCCCAGTGTCGCTGTCGTGTTCGACACGATGGTCGCCAGATGGTGCCCGAAGGGGCTCGTGGTCGACTGTCGAACGGCAGACGACAGGTGTTTCTGTCGTGTCGAACACGACGGTCAACTCCCCTTCAGGCACCGTTTGGCGACCATCGTGTTGAACACGACATGGACATTGTTATCAGGCGATCAGACGGTGCATGAAGGGTCTCTTGGTCGACTGTTGCACGACAGACAACAGTGTAGCTGTCGTGTCCAACACGACGGTTGGTCAGCCCACGCAGTGTCGAGCTCGACGTCGAGCAGGATGACGAGTTGGTCAGCCGTCGGGTCCGACACGACGACACCGCAATGTCGCTCTCGTGTCGAATTCGACGGTCCTGGAGGACGTCGTGGCACGACCGTCGAGTTCGACACGACAGTGAAACGACGACGAGCTGGCAGGCTGCGACCCGCTTTCGTTGCTCTGTGTTCCTGTCTATTCTTGTTCTCAAGTGCTGTGGTGTTTTCACGTTGGCAAAGCAATGACTGCTTTCTCGCTTGTGCATTTTCTTCAGTTGCAACTAGCTGCTCGACATGAATCGCGAGGGGAAGCCAAGCAAACGACGTACTAGTACTGGTTCCGGGAGCATGGAGCAGTCTCCGAAAAAAACAAAGGGGACACCGATACACCGGGGTCTAAGGGCCACCGAACCCCGGTGCTGCGGGGTGCACCTTCTACGGGCACTCCTTCCACCCATGTTCGAGGTTTGGGACCGGATTCGGCTGTGTTGATGAGTGGTGGGGCTGCGGGTCGAGAAGAGGAGGCTACTGGTCAGCAGGGGAAATCTACGATGGACGTTGTGCCCAAGCGTAGAAGGTCTGGTGACACGTCCGTTGCAGGTGTGGGAGACGAGGTGCCTGTCGTCGACCACAAAGACAAGTGTTGGATGTTGGACTGGGTGGGTGGAATCGGGGAACGCTCGGGTGGGCTGGTTTTGTACGTGGTGATCAAAGATAACATTGTTCCGATTGGCGGTGTGGTTAAGTGGAGTGGAGAAAAATCACCGTCGGCCATGTTGGAGTTGACGATGGTCCTTAACGCTANATTGGCGGTGTGGTTAAGTGGAGTGGAGAAAAATCACCGTCGGCCATGTTGGAGTTGACGATGGTCCTTAACGCTAGAGGTGAGCGGATAGCGGATGTCAAACGCGTTGCTCTTCGTTGGGCCAAACACGCTGGGTACGGCAAGAGGCTTTATGACATTTTCAATCCGTCTGAGACAGAGAAATTGACGTTGCCGGACCTTCGAGCGGTTTTCGCATTCTTCGACAGACATGTGGTCGCAGGGCATGAGCCGGTGGTGCATGCTTCCGACCGCATATCTGAACCGAAAAGCGTGCTTTCGTCGTCTTTGGAGGCGGCTCCGTCGTCGAAACCAATCATTATAGGTGTCTGCCCTCTGCCATCACTTCTGACTACGGTTGCTGCTACACGAGTTTCGAAATCTGGGCAAATCGGGGAGAAAGGTCAGTGTCGCGGCCAAATCGTGTCGTCAACCCCTGTGAAGCATAGACCAACATCAACCAAGGAACCCGTTTCCTTGGTCCACCCGCCGCGCTATGAGTTGGCCATTCCTGCTGGGCCCCAATATTTTGGAGATGACGACGAGGAGAACGGCGAAGAAGAATGGGAGCGCGATGAAGGACACGAAGAATATGAGGAGGGTGGCGAAGAAGAGGAAGTAGAGAGTGAGCACACAATCTGCGAGAGGGGTGGGCCAGGCGAGTTGGAGGGTCGTCTAGGGGCTGAGTATGAGGACGAAGGGCAAGAAGAGGAAACGACGGGCGAGGGAGGGTATGCACATATGCATCGGGGTTCCAAACGAATGCAGCTGCTCACGTCGGGTCATGGGCATTGGGAAGCGGATCCAGGGGGTGGGAAAATGCACCGCGAAGTTGGGGTCGAGCCGGTGCATGCCGATGCAGTCCGACTAGCTGAGAAGAAAAGGAAGATGAGGCAAGAGAGGAGAAGTGCTATGGACAGTAAGAAAACCAAGCAGGAGGGGGGAGCCAAGCAAGAGGAGAGCAAACGCAAGTTGAAAATGCTCGCAGTTGAGGAGGCCGTCCAACGTACGCGGGAGGCTGAGGAGGCCATGAAAAAAAAACGGCAGCCAAGGAAAAAAACAGCGAAGGGAGGTGTCATGGAAAAAACTTTCGTTTTTCCACCGGACAAGCCACAGTCGGATGAAGACGCTGTGGGCAAGACAGTCACCAAACAGCCCGGTTTGCAGATTCTGCCGCCTGGGAATTCTTCTGCTCATCTGAGCAAAGGCTTCTTTCTTGAGTTCGACGAGAATGGTAAACAGAGGCCGGAAATGCAGTTCATTTCTGTCAAGTTGGACAGGATTCTGGATATCCCTGATGAGGAATTCAGATATAATCAATGCTTCCTCGATTAGGAGCTTATTGATGACCTTTACAAAACAATGGTTGAGTCGGGTGAGGCAGCTATCAGAGAGAAAACGACCAAGGCAGTCGGGGTGAATGTATGTGCATTGTACGAGAAGCCTGTCCTTTTGTTGATTGGGCTACATAATACAATGCATACTGACGCTTCCGGTACGAATGTGAGGGCGAGAAGAGTGACGCCCGGCGAATTCGATCTCCAATCCGTGCGCAAGTACTACTGGTACCCTCTCAGTGGTCAACACAATGTTGCGGCGACGAGGAAATGTTATCAAGAACGTCCTGACATCGCTCGTGAGCTCCGTTTGGATTGTTGGACTGCAAAGCCTGTTTACTATCCGGATAGGAGCATGGAGAATTACTGCACCTTGAGCACTTTCCAAAATACGAAGGACAAATGGAATACTCCTCCGCACCAGATTGCTATCGTTAAGAACATACGAAAGTTGTGGCAAGCAGTCGGTCGTCCAGAAGCTATAGGCGGATCTGCTGCAGACATCAAAAATAAGGATTACAGAGAGTTTGCGGCGATGGCTCTGCGCGCGATCGGGAGTGATCATTTGGTTACTCTTTCACTTCAGGCTTGGAGGAAGGAGTGGTCCGACTTCCTCGGGCCTTACATGGTATTGGCAAGGGCGACGGACGATGTGTTCGACAAGGTGCAACAAGTGTATTCTGCTTAGGAGAGTGGACAGTTGTCGGGGAGAGATGGTGTGAAGCCTGCCACCAAACAAGGTGAATCGGGGAAAGTGTCGAGACCTGGCCCCGGATTCGAGTTGGAAAAAGGAGTTAGGGTTCCAGTGCACTGGATTCAGGGTACTAGAGGACCTGGTTACCTCGTGGCTGTGCGCGGTCCGGATGTCAGATCATGGAAGGCTATGTCTACGTTGGGGAGGCGTGAGAGGCTTCAGTTGTTGCGAGACATTCTCGTGGGAAGTGTCATACTGGCTCCAAGGCTAAGTAAAGTTGCTCAATCTGTCGGGAAACATTTGATGGAGACATACGTGGAAATTGTGAAGCAGGAAAGAGCAATGTTGAGAATGTTTCACTACTTCGTCTTCATTTCTGACTCTCACAAGAAGCCGTCAGAGTGAAGGAACCATTCTTCGACAACCTTTCTGATTTGTTCGTTAAGTATTGTGATCAAGGATTGACATCGGAGAGGTGGATCGACCAGCGACGGCATTTCAAAGAATCCAGTTGGGTGCGGTCATTTTCGGCTACACTTGGAGGCGAGGATGAGAAAGGAGAGGAGGGTTTCAAGAAAACAAAATCGCTTGCAAACAAATGCCCCGAAGAGTTCATTCAATTTGTCAACAAGTTGTTGCGTAGATCTGAAACTGGGGGTTCGCATAGCATTCGTATGTCGGGACAAGCGAGATATACATATTTCCAGAAACAGGACGTGACATCTGTATTCGTGCCGTTCCAATGGGAACCGAGCGATGTTTCAGACGAGATGGATTGCAAGGAGATGTTTAGAGCCGTCAGACACCTGACCTGCCACACAGCCGTCTTGGATTTGTGTCACCCGACCCAGACGGGTGCGTGGACTGAACAAGTGTTTGATGGATTCAAGAAGTTCATGGACAAACTTGGCGGCGAGTATTGGACATTGTTGTGCTTCGTTCAACGCCCTTGCGAGTTCACGTTCTTGAGGCGAGTCGCGATGTGGGACATTCATTTGGATTTTCTCAAATGGACTCGTGTAGAACAAACAAAAGGGAAAGTGATACATAATGTTGCAAACTTGCCTTTGGAGGAAACTAACAGAATGGTGGTCATCATGTACTCCAACGACGGGGATTTTCATCGCAACATTATTCCCTTGTTTGAAGATATTCAAGCTGCAGGTCCATCATCTGCTGAGCGGGTGGCTGACATATCGGCACTTGTGCGGAGAGAGAGAAAGCCGAAGATGTTGACTGATGTCGTGGAGAAGAATTTTCTACCATCAAAGTGGAAAATAGCAGGTATGGATCCACCGGAGAAAGTGGTCTATGATGGTATGGAAAGGGAGCCGAATGCGATGGTGGAGACATTGGAGCATTTTTGTCCTGCGGATGAGGCTGTCGTTTTCCTTGGGAAAGGTCATGCGGGATTGGTTTGGGAGTTGTTAAAGAGTCACCGTCATTGCATTGTGCTGGAAAAGGAGGGTATGAAGTTCAAGTTCCTCACTCAGTTCATTGACAAGATGGTCAAAACTCGAGATTACTACGCCAACTTACTAAGCCGCCTCCTCGACATGATGAAGGGCGTGATCTCGTCTAACATGGTTGGTCAAAACATGGTCAATATTTGGGAGTTTTTCTTCGAAACAAAGCTGCAAGACAGAGGGAAACGTACTTATGTCCTCAGAAGATGAAAAGTGGAGAAACTCTTGAGGGGTTATCATAAAGCACCATCGGAGAGGGAGGTTTCATTTCTCGACCGCTTGGAGACAATGTACTTCGACAAACAAATCGCGGCATTTACAATCGCAGGTTATGCGACTTGTTTTGTGGATGGTGAGGACTTTGATGCCGACGACTCAGAAGAAGAGAGTGTTGATGGCACTTTGCAAGCGGTTTTGGCAGCTGAGAGGCAAAGAGTTTGTAGTCCGGCTTCGCATTCGCAGAGAATGGGTGTTCCAATCACATCGTCCGGTTCTGGAGGAGTTTCGAGCATGGCGGTTTCAACGGATCAGTTAATGACTTAGCCGCCGACTTCTTCTATTGTTACACCGACTCAGATGGCGGGCAATACGATGACGGTGGCATCAGGAGGCAGTCTGGATTCGAATGTTCTAGCAATGCTCTCCCCAGAGTTGGTGGCAACTCTGGCACCATTTGCACATAGCCCAAGTACTATTATGGAATTGCTACGCTCTCGAACTCCACAACAACCTCCACCTGATGAGCCTTTGGAGTACGAGATTGGAAAAACAATCCCTGCAGACATTCGACTGCTTCCGAGGCCTATAGTGTGCCGAGACGATTATTCGGTGACGGATGATGCCACATGGGATCATCACATTATATGGCACCCCCAACACTTTCAACCTGCATTGGCGAGAGGGAGGTGGGTTATGGCTATAAAAGAAGAAGGGGAGTGGCAGTTTTGCCTCCACAGACGTATGTCAGGATCGAACTTTCTGAAACATGCCAAAAATCAGATTGCCAAGCGACTCCTGCGACTTAATCCGGAGGTTTCTCAATCAAGACTAGATGTAAGAACAGAAGAAATTTTCCAAG